GGACAATGGGACTTTACACTTCCCAAGACTTATCTAAAGTAGTATAATTTTATACCATCTCCGAATTCCCTCTCCAATCCTGCCATGATCATCAGATAAATTCTTCAAATTTCTGTGGCTGGATTATCATCTATTCTCTTTGTATTTGTTAACAAGCTAATTTTAGTGGTGAAACACAAAACGTGCACCTCATCTACATACTTGGTGCTTGTTGCATAGGAACTTCTATGGCTTTGCCTCATGTAACATGATAAACAGTACCAATGACGTGGAGGTTCTGGAATTATTTGAGTGCTTTTAAACAGTATTCCCTCTTTAATCAGATGGATGGGCTGGTCCAAGCTGTCACATTTTCCTTTCAGGTAGGTAAGGCTGGGCTGTCTTTCCAAAAGGCACGTGGGAGAACTCTGTCTTAGCCGTGCTCTGATGCACTGTGTGAACTGAGTCGTATTTTTTAAAATCTAAAAGGTAACTCACAAGAAAGTGTTCACTGTTGTTTAAGATACAATGAAATAAAGCCTGATCTTAAGATCTGATGATCTTAAAAGCAGCTTAAGATGAATATAGAGTCGGGACAATATTCTCAAGAATGCATTTGGAAACAATATAAAATTTACCTAATGATTACAGTTAAAGCTGGGGAGCCTAAAGGCCAGTGACATGAAATACTGCTGAGTGCACTTGCATTATTGAACAGACTCTGGAAGGCAACTGATGAAGCCGGCATTGAAAGCTGCCAGACAGAAGAGACCTTTCAGCAATTTGTTTAAAGCATGAGTAAAAATAAGCCCCCTTCTGTACAAATAACATGTTAAGGAGCAATGTGGAGAATTTTCAAGCCATTCAGTTCATTTATATCCTTTATTTTTTACGTCTTTTGTGGAGAATAACCATACCACAGAGGATAATCACATTCACCTTTATTCATACCTTGCAGTGTGACCAAGCCATGACAGTACAGGCAAAGATTGGCTCACAGTTAAAGCATTCCTTTGCTAATAGGATGCCTCCAGAGTTATGTGGGAAAATGTAAAGTTAGCAAGGGAAAAAAAAAGAAAAAGGAATTCTGGTAAAGGTACTACAGCTCCTTGCATGTTTATTGCACTGCTCTCTTTGCCTTCCACTACCATTCTTTTCTACAGCTACAGCGCTCAGAATAAACGAACTAGAGCCATTAGGATTCCCTTCTCATGTGGGGGATGAAGTTGCCACAGTCTTCTCACTTTCTGCATTGACACTCAGCATTTTTAACGCTGCGTTGTAAACCGGAGACAATTTTGGAGCAGCACTATAGCGGACGTGGCCCCGCGCAGGAGCGAGCTCACTCAGCACTGAGGCGGGGCGCAGTGCAGGAGGGGGCGCTCCCTCCGCAGCGCGCCGCAGTGCTCTGTGCTACGGCGCCCCCTGGTGGCGGACGCGCCCCATCCCGCCTCGAGCTCTCGTTCCCGCTCCGCGCTCGCTCGGGGCTTTGCGTAGCCTTGACGGTCTGCCTTACCTGGGGCGCCTCGCCTCGTGGGGAGACATCCTTACTGACCGTGCAGAGGGAGAAACTTGTGGTGTGCTGGAAAAGTGTGTGACCTTTGTTTTCAGAACACGTGCAGGAAATGGAAATAGATTTGCTAATGACACAGCCTGCAGCCAGAAAGGTGTTCGTGGTGTTCAATGTGCTGCAGCTTACAGATGACGCAGCTGAGCTGCTGCTCATTGCACAGATGGTATGTATCTCTCTGAGTGCCAGACCAGCCTCTGGTAAGGGTTTTATTAAGCCGAGACCCGGTGTTATTACTTAGCCACATCCTGATGGTTTCTATTGATTTTTTTCAGGCCAGCTGTCTGCCTCGGAGTTGCATCCACAGAGTAAATAATTCACTTCCTTGCAGGTTTCTGTACTGTCCACATTGCTATCACCACTGTAACTGAGCGTTGCACCTGTACACTTCTGGGAGCACAGAGAACTGTCTGCTCTTTGGGTGCGATACACAGAGGTGGAAGTGCAATCTCACATGCCTTTGCTAGGTCTGGAGAGGCATTTGGTGTTCTCAGAGTGTTTATTGCTTTATGTGCTCAGAACAGAAGGTCTGCTAACAACCTTTTAAACTTGGTATGTGTGCCAATCTCTCTCTACATGTGCTGAGTTCACCACTTAGAAAAGAAGAAGCATGCTGTGGGAGAGGATATTATCTCTATGTATTTAATTCAGAAATTTTAGCTGGGAGAGATAGGAGGACTCCAACATTTGTGCTCTGGACAGAGCTGGCCTCTTTTCCTCAGCTGCGGTCAGGAAGGAGATTCGACCTTTAACTTAAGCAGACAATTAAAATTTTGGTTTAAATACCTTCCCCTGCATCACTCAAGAATTTTCTGGTGAAGACAGATTCTAGTTCCTCAGGATAGCATCCATTCCACTCCTCCAGTGTCTTCCTTCTCCATTCCATCCACTCACTCCAATTCCTACAGCAAACAAGGAAGTCATTCGAGGCAACAACTGCTTCACTTGGTCCCTTGAATGATGTCCACCCAGTGATTTTGAAGGAAGCCAAGATCACATGTTAACTTCTGCTTTTGCATCTTCAGTTCAAATCATAGTACACACACAGGTTAATATTTTCAAATATTTAAGACCAAAGTTTTATCCATGAGAAATACAGCAGAACTAAAGAATCCCCCAGGCAAAACTACCCACAGTAAAATGTAGGTGTGTATGCAAGATACCATTTTAGGGCCAAATTCTAAACTTAGATGGAGCCTATAGCACAGATGGATGATTACATATATCTGACAAGAGGACACCGTATGGAATCTCTCTCTTGCAGTAGAGCTGATGACATACTATATTAAATGGAAATTTCTAACTTAAAATGCTGACTCACAGGTCCCTGTTATGCAGTGATTTGCACCCGTTATGAGTGCAACAACTGAAGGCACTTCAGGAGTTATCTTAGCTATCATCTGAACTGGACTGAGCTGAGGAAGGATGGGAGAAAGAGATGGGGCTCCAGTTCCAAATTAAATGTGTTTTCTTTTTCCTCAATGAACTTTGCTGAATGAACAAACTGAAAAGGAAAATAATACCTGGGGCTTCTATTCCAGTTTTCCCCCTACATGGGATGAATGTGGGCTACCACATTTGGAATAAACATGGCAATTAAAATCAAGAAATGGGCAAATATTTGGGCAAGATCGCACTGTCAGACTGCAAATGAAAGGAAGAATAAACTCTGCCATTATCACGCAGAGAAGCAAAGTGTCACAGTCCCTATGGCTATGGCTCCTAAGAGTGGAAGAGGAGGGGCTGTGTTGGTGAGTTGACACCTCTGTACTTAGGGAAGTCAAAGCGTAAGTGTCTGCCGCTGCAGGAAGCGCTGCTCAGGGCCCTTAAGCGGCCCTTACTGACCTTCCTGCAACTCCGGGCTCCTTTTGTTCCTTTGTTATGGAGATCTTAATAATTCCACAGCAGGGGAGAAGGGACGCTTTTCTTCCTGCATAGTACTGCAGGCTGAACAGTCACGCAGTACAGCTAATAGTCAGAACCTCTTAAAGCAAAGCCACGTTTGTTTTTTTCTGTGAGAAGTTTGCTGCCTTCCGGAATGAGAAGAGGAAGTCTCGTAGAAAGCGGTACATTGCCCATGTAACTCTTGGCATTTTACAGGGTATTTTTCTTCATGGTCCCCTGTGCTCATTAGCTTTGCTGCCACGAATCGTGCATTTTCACCTTTGTCTGAAAGGTCCTACGAGGCTCGTGTTCTGTGCTAACAGGGCGATGTTCGCTGGCAGACTGTTACAGCCGGAGGTGCTTCCTGCTGGTGGCGAAGCCCCCTGAGAACGAGCTCCCATGGAGTCCACATTTGCACGTGCGGTATAGAACACGTAAAATATCGTAGCCAACAAATCAGTACGTGCAGCAACAGTCGTACTGCAGCGGGGTTGTGAGACCGATCCTATGTATTTCACATTGGTTGGGGCAGAGAAAAGGTGCGATATCACCGCGCAGGAGTCACGGTAATGAAGCAGATTAAGGGATTAAAAAGCTCCCCTGTTCCTGGGGCGTTGCGGTGGTGGATCTGTGCTGCATCTGACACGGGGCGCCGAGTGCCGGTGCTCCCCACGCACCGCTCCCGCACAGCCCAATGCAGCACAGGCGCGGGGCGGAGCGGCCCGGCCAGCCCCAGTGCCGCGCGTCAGCACCGCCCAGCCGGCACGGGGGGCGGCTGCTCGCAAAGCCCGGCGGTGGGCGGTCCGGTCCGAGGGAGCGGACGGGAGGCGGCTATCCGCAAAGCCCGGCGCGCGGATCGCGGGCCCGGCCTTAAGATGGCTGTTGTGCGCGGGGCGCCGCCGCCGTCGTAGAGCCGCGAGGAGCCGCCCGCCGCGCCCCGCCGCCATGGAGTGCCCGCACCTCGGCTCCAGCGTCTGCATCGCGCCCGACTCGGCCAAGTTCCCGCAGGGCTCGCCCTCCTCCTGGTGCTGCAGCGGTGAGTGCTCCGCGCGGCCTAACACCGCTCCCGGCCCGAGGCGGCCCGGCCCGAGCGCGGCGGGGGGCGGCGGCCGAGAGCCTCTCCCGGGCACCGCCGCTCCTTTGTTCCCCGCGGCCGCCGCCCCGCGCACAGCCCGACCCCCCCGAAGCGCGGGACCCTCGGCGGGAGGTGCGGCTCAGGGCCCTCCCCGCGGGAGGTGGGAAGGAGGCGGCGGGCCGGGGGAGATCCCGTCCACGCGGCCGAGCGGCTGCCGCGTGTCCCGGCGGGCGGAGGGCGAGGGCTCGGCGGCTGCGCTCCCGGGCCGGGCCCGGCTTTGTGCGGGGCGGAGCGCAGCCTCGGCCCTCGGCGGACTTTGTGTGCGCGCCGTGCCCGCGGCCCCTTCGGCCCGCGCCCCCCCCGCTCCCGCGGGCGCGGAGGAATGCGGGATCGCGGAGCTTTTGTTCGCCCCGGGAGCTGCGTGCCTCGGCGCGGTGCGTGCTGCCGGTGCGGCTTTCGGCTACCCCAGATCACTTCTTTTTATTTATTTTTTTTTTTCTTAAGTAGATGCGTTTGGAAGCGCTTTACGGAGCGCAGCTGAAAGCGGCGTGCCGAGGTGATGGGGCGCGGGTCCCCCCGACAGCCGAGGAGCGGCCGAAGCGGGGCTCGCTGCGGGCCGTGCGGAGCTCCCCGCGGGGCTCTTTGTTCGCCGCTTCCATAACGCGCAAAACCGCCCTCGCACCGGTCGCGCGGTGCTGTTGTTGGAGGGCTTTGCCTACGAAGTTTCCGCGTCCCGGTGTTAGAAATGCAGCCTTTGGACGGACGGCTGCACTGACAGCCTGCGGTGGTGGCTCTGATTTTGGTGCGTTTCTGTCCGTCCCAGGCGCAGCGGGAGCAGTTCTCGGCGCTAAAGCGCGAGCAGCCCGGCATGCGTGGTCGCGGCTGGGTCTGCTCCCAGCAGCAGCACCGCACTGCTGTGTGCGTGGCAGCACGCAGAGCCTTGCGGGTGGAAATGACAGATGGAGGGACGTGTTGGCTGTGTTTTAAGGTTGTTCCCGTTTTTAAGGAAAGGTGGCTGTCCTTTGTCTAGCAGAATCTGTGCTGTAGTGTGGGAAGTGTGCTGCCCGAGTTCTCTCCCGCGGTGGCAGCTTCCTGGAGCCGAGGTGTGGTGCTGCTGCTTCCTGTGGCAGAACCAGCGCCGGCACTGCAGTGCTGTGGTTACAGGGGGAGGACGCTTTGTAGGGGAATAATCCCCGTGAGTGGTTTGAAGAAAAAGAGTGCAGGAAAACTTGTTTTTTTTTTTTTTGTGTGTGTGTGTTTCTTTATTAAAAAGTTCTTGGCGAGACACCTAACTCAGTAACTCTGTTGTCTGCAGGCTGTTGGGTGAGCAGAGGTGTCATCCAGAAGCACGTGGCAGTAGGGAACCACCCTGCAGAGAGCTTCAAGTAGATTAACTAGAAACATATCCTTGGCTATTCATAGAGCTTCTCAGCTTTAAAAATAGGCCAGTTTGCAGGTACAGGGTCCTGCTGGGCATGTTCCCAAGTGGAAAAAGGTCAGCAGTCAGAACAGCGTTTTCTCTGTCAGTCGGAGGTGTTTGCCCAGAAGGGGGTTGCTGAGCATGCGGCGGTTTGCCAGTGTCTGGGGGCAGGAGGAGGGAGCTGGGCTCATGGGGAACAAGCAGATCTGTAATGATGCTGTACCTCAAGGAGTGCCTCCCGTCACTGTGCTTGTAATAAAGTCCATCACATTAAGGAGTCGCACAGAGCTTGCATAGAGAACTACTAGGTAAGAATTTCGGTATGCTGAATCTCCAACACTGTAATGGGCAAACAGCAGGCTCGTGTCAGCTTAATCAAAAATAATTATTTTCAGAAATGACTTTTGTGTTCTTATTCATCTGGTAAAATGCAGTGCATTCCTTCTGAGCTACAGCTGCTGGTGTATGTTGTTAGGTTTGCTTCCTAAAAGTATAGAGTGCTCTCTGTTTCTTGTCTGTGCTTGTTTCAGGGAGATTAGTTTTGAGAGATACGTGATACTGGTTTCTGTCTGTCCACAGTAAATGCAACTTCTTACTCACTGCAGCTTGGTAACGTACAATTAAATAAAGTGACATAAACATCTTGTAAAAATGTAATGCATTTCCCATTGCCTTTGATGCTGTTTTCCAAGGTCCTGTGGACTCGATTCTCTTTGTTGATGTTGTTGCTTCAGCTGCAGAGAAACGTTTAAAGGTAATTTTGTGCAAAGTGTAATTATACAGCATCCGACACCTTGCGCGTTGTCTCAGAATGACTCAGACCTCGCGGCCCGTCCTCTGCTGAGTACTGCTGACCTTTCCAGAAGAGGAGCGCGGGTGAAGATAGCGATGCAGGAAGCATGGCTGGCTGGTCACTGATAGCAAGGCAGTGCCCATGGGTGGGAGAGTGTGTTCACACTTCAGACCAACAGTGGCTATTTTTGTCACTATCTTGACTGCGATTTGAGGGCCTGGAATTGTCACACAGAGTGAGTGACAGATGTTTGTGATTCACCTCTTCCTCTATTCTGTAAATGCTCTCGATGGCAGCAGTACTGCACAGGGTAATAGGAATGCACTTCTGAATCTTGTGGAGGCTTATGACTGTACTGTGGAATGGTGCTGCATTGGAAGCTGGTATTTGGAAGCCAGCTTTACCAAGGTTAGGGAATTGAGAAGCATGTACACCAGCCTGAATTACTCGTTTGGCCTAAGTCAGTTCCCCCAGAAGCTACCTGCAGCATTGTTAAGGAGGCTCTGAGGAAGCAGCAAGGGCAGGCATTGATGGCAGGTGTGCTGGTCAAGTATGAATCTTTCTGCTCCACGTTAAAGAGCAATGGTCTGTGCTCTTTTGAAGAGCTGCTGTTACCAGTGTGTAGTTAGAGTTTTAAGCACTTCTGTGAAGGAAAGCCTGTTTTCTTCAGTATTCAGCTAGGCTATTTCATGGGTGCTCTGCACAGCAATACAGAAAGCAGTGTGCATTTGCTCTGGGAGCTTTAGGGCTGTCAAAAGAGCACAGGACACATTTTTGAAGATCCAGAGGTAAGGCTGCTGTTGCAGCTGCTGTAATCGGGCATTTAAGAGGAGACAAAATTCATATGTGGACTAAAGAAACTGAAAATTGCTTTAAATTAGTGCAGTGACATACTGCGTGCAGATGCCTGCTGATTCCACGCACCTCCATTTCTGAGACTAATGCTGAAGTTGGAAGCAGAGTAGCTGGAGGCATTGGCAAGAGCGCTGTGGAGCATCACCGTTGGTGTGATGTGCCACACCTTCGGCGCTGCTGTGCAGATCATGCAGCTATGAGAAGCACTGTGGAACAGCTCGGATGTGGCGTTGCCCAACAACTTCTGATAGGCTTGTGAAACCGCGGGGAGCTGTGCCTCACCTCAGCAAGACTGCAGTCTTTTAAGCACACTTGTGCAAGTCCAAAGGATTTTGTCAACTTCTTTCTGCATGGCTGAGTTGAACGCATCGGTTGGTTGATGTGGAGTTGAAGTTATTTCTATAGAAGAACTGTGATAGACGGACAGAATTGTGTCTGCTGAGACTGAGATCCAGTGAATTAGTTTCACGGGAGAATTGCACTTCTGGAGCACATTTAAGACTTGTGTTTCAGAATATCTTTTTTTCTTTTCAGTAGTGTAATTTTGTTAGCTATCGTAGAGCAGTTCTGGCTGCAGAGTGGTATTTCCTGCTACAGCAATAGGTCCTTGCCTGACATCTGTTTCTTGCATTCTAATTTCTGTTGAATGAGAGCTGTAATTTTGCAGTAGGTCAGAAACACATGTTGTGGCATTTCAAATGACACTGGGACTAGAAAAACTATGGAAAAGAGCACATACAAGGGAGCAGATTGATTATGGTAGAGATCTGCATGCTGAATTGTAACATTTTTCTTTTTTAAGGTAATTTTCAAAATGTGGGGTTTTTTTTTTTGTTTTTTTTTTTTTTTTGTTTTTTTTTTTTTTGTTTTTTTAAAGATCAGAATTACCCCAAATGTCACTGAACACTTGATTTGTGTGAATGCAAATGTTTTGGACTGAGTAGGAGAGCCCACCACTTTGGAGGTCTTTGGAGGATGTCTCCAGCTAAATGAGTTACACTGTGTTGGGGTTTGCTGGAGTGTTCTGCCAGGCTGTGGGGCTGTTGTTATCAGGGCCATAAGAAAAGCACCACAAAAGCCCAGGTGTGCAGACTTTAGCCATCACTGGTTCTCTTTCCATCCCAGTTCTTGTGCTTCTTCACCATCTGTGTGAGTTTTTTGTCTTTTTCCTTTTGTTACTAGAGATCCTTGTTTCTTCTTCCATTCTTAGCAGAAGATGGAATGAAAGAGAACTTGCTGAACGTGGAAGGGGTAGGGAGAGCTTTGTTCCTATGACCAGTCAGCAGCATGCAGACTCAGGGTAAGCTTGTGGACGTAATGGTCTGTATATGAAGGTGATCTCTCGTCTTTCCTATGTCTGGAAAATGAGTTTGACCTGATAAAGACCACATTTGATGATTTTTTTTTTTTAACCTCTTTTATTCAGTCATGTTCTGAGGTTGAATCGTTGTTCATCCATTTCTTTGGGTTAATGCAATGCAGGAATGCTTCTTAGTTATTTTTCAGACTTCATAGGCTGTTGTATCTCCTTGAGCTCATTCCCTGGCTGTTTTCAAGTAAAGCTTACTAGCTTTGGCTTGTATTGTTTTAGATTCAGTCTTGTTTTCATTAAAACTGTGAACATTTTTTTTTCCATTTGAATCTGTTGCTTATGTATGGGACAATAGCTATCATAATCTGTATGATAGAATGCAGTGCTTTGGGGCAGGTTTTTTAGGAAGATTTCTGTTTGTTGAGGTGAGGTCAGAGTCTTGGTTTCAGTCTCATAGGCTGGACCTTGTTTTCCTCTGCAGTATGAAAAGAGGAGTGTTTGATTTCAGATACTTGGCATTTTTAAAAGAACATTTGAGTAAAAAAAAACCAAAAAACAAAAAACCCAACAATGTGAATTGATGATGCTTCACGTTTTCTAGGCTTTCTTTTGAAAAGTTTCTTTTATTCTACTCAACAAAACCCCAATCAAAACTTGAATGTTAGCTGATGAAAGAAACTGCTCCAGAGGAAGGCAGTATGCAAACATCTAATCCATTGCCTTTGTTTAGAAACTAATTCTAATCTTCATGAGGATCTTGATGCTAAATTTTGATGGGCAGATTTTACTCCTGAGGATTCCAAATTAACTCTTCCAAGTGCACCATCATGGTAAGGAGACAGGATGCTCTGGAAGTGTGATAGAGAGGCAGGACAGACTGCATTGAGCCTGGCATGCTCTTGCCTTAGCTACAGATTAGTTCAGATCTCACCACAGCTGGTTTAAGTGTAATCAGGACAATAATGTTCACCTGCTTCTCCTAATCCCTTCAAGATGTGCAAATGATTTAAAAAAAAAGAACAAAAAACTAGAAATTCCAAAAGCAAATAGAAAACAAAACAAGAACTGACCCAGAGCTTTATTGTTGCTCCATTTTTCTGATAGTCAGGCATAGGGCTGCAGGGTGCTGAGGCCAATAGAATAGTGAATTTTTTGTTACATCTGTGCCTGAGGTTTGTAGTGAAAGTTTCAGACAATGTTTGGAGGGAAATAAAGCTTTGAGCCATTTCTCACTTGGTCTGTGCTGCTCTTAGTAACCTGTTCCTGCATCACTTTCTGTTTTGTTGGTTATAAATGTCTTTCGGGTAGCTGAAGAGTGGTTAAAGGCCACGCGAAATGATGGCAGTCCATGGAGGTTAGAAAGCGCAGCTGCTTCAGAAATTCAGAAAGCTAGCTGAGGCTTTTCTGATAGCTGTTTTGGGA